GGTGTGGGAGTTTTCATAGATCTTGTATGATAAAAGACCAGAGGTGGGAAAAGTACTCAGATCTTGAACTTAAGTACCAGAGTGTAGAAATATTCTGTTACAAGTTAAAGTCCTGCATTCAAAATGTTACTCAAGTAAACGCACTAAAGTATTGGCATCAAAATATACCTAAAGTACCAAAAGTAGTCATTGTGCAGATTGATCCATTTCAGAATAATATATATGATATGTGTTGATTATAATTATTGATACATGAAAGTGTTCTCAAAGCTGGTAAAGGTGCAGCTAGTTTTAATGAGTCTGTATACTGCAGGGTAGCTTGTGAATTTACTCCAGGTGGAACTAAAGTCTGATTGAAGACTTGGTTATATTTCACGTCATTAATCCAAATCTGCTAAGTAACTATAGATATTAAATAATTGTAGTGGAGTAGAAGTACAAAGTAGCATACAATGGAAATACTCAAGTATCGCAGTACAGTACTTGAGTTAATTTACTAGATACTTCCCACCTCTGTAAAAGACAGCTACAAATATGTCTAATTTTGCAGCATTCCAGCATGCTACTCTAAACACATTCCTTCATAAAAGCGCATCCTCCAATATCTGATGACTAATGTTTTTCGCAAAGAGCAAACAGGAGGGTTTTCTTTTTTTCATTTTTGGTTGGCTGGTTAGGATTTTCTAACCTTAAGTAAAGAAGAATAGAGAAGTGTATGGTCATATTTGAGTGATCCAACAACAGTGTCTTTATATTTTAATGTCAAGAATGTTGGTATTTGTTTTATGTGAAAACCGAACTTTCCATAATTCTGGTGTTTTTCTTCCTATAAAAACACACATTTTCTATCACCACCTATACTACGAGTTATATGATCCCATATGAACAAGCAATTCTGACAAAGTTTAGATATCTTCACTTGAGAGATGTCTCTTCCTGCTGTCTGGAGTGGGCGGAGCTTTTCGGACAATCTGATCAAGCCACACCCATGTTTCCTTATCAGGTAGATTCATGTTATCATCATGGTTATAATACTTTCCAAAGATAAAATCCACCATCTTTTATGAGGATAACCAATCAGCATTGACAGCAATTAAAGAAACACATTTTTCCGTGTGTTCCACAGTTTCCACAGAAAGCTGAATGATCCTGCTTGCTTGCAGAGACACAGACATTGGGCCTACAGTGCATTGCACTCAAGCCATATTGTAGGTTTGAAAAAATACAGTTCAACAATAGGTATCGTCGTCTATTAAAACCCTCTGTGCTCATATTTGTGGATGCTATTTCCCTACTGGAAATGTAGCTAGTTTGCATGAGTGAAGAGAAAAATAAAGTTCAGATAAAAAACCCACAATAGGTCAACAGGTTTAGGCAGTTCTGCTTTTGCAGCAGTTCTGAGGGTAGAGACCATATATCTAAGCTGAAATAGAGCACTGCAGGATTGAGTCCTCTACAGCATGTAGTTCTTCCTCAGGTCTAACTAGGTCACTGTCATGTCCAATGGGTGCTGATTCAGGAAGATTACACTGCTGCTACCCTGTATTTGCTTCCTTGGATTTCAAAATCTTGAATTTACCTAGATAAATAAATGTTTCAAAACAATTGCTAAAATAATGATTATCTAACTGATGATAGTGTAATTGATTGAGGGATTAAGGTCCATAATTCATCAAATATTCAAAGTATATTATAATTGTCTGTTTTCGGTTAGTCACTGCAGCAGATTCTAAATATTAAGATGTAAAAGTACTATCAAACTGCACTGCCCCCTGTCTTAAAACCATGGTACTGCAGATATTAGTACCCCCTGTTCAGAGCCATATGGCTCTGCCCCCGTTTAACAGATTATTCTCCTCCAGAGAACAAGCGATTTATTAGATTAGATTATTTCCATTTTATGCTACTTTGTACTTCTACTCCACTACAATTCAGATTTAAATTGTTTACTTGTATTACATTTACGAATGACCTTTAGTTAATTTGCAGATGTAGATGAATGAAAAACAATATAATTAACACTTAAATCAGACTTTAGTTCCACCTGGAGTAAATTCACAAGCTACCCTGCAGTATACAGACTCATTAAAACTAGCTGCACCTTTACCAGCTTTGATAACACTTTAATGATCAATAATTATTATCAAAACATATAATATATATTATTCTGTATTGGACCAATCGGCATAATGAGCATTTTTACTTTTGGTACTTTAAATATAATTTGATGCCAATATTTTCGTACTTTTACTTAAGTAACACTTGATTGCAGGACTTTTACTTGTAACAGAGTATTCACACTCTGGTACTTCTACTTAAGTACAAGATCTGAGTAGGGAGACCAGGGACCGTTGCAACACTTTTTGGGTTTTCCCCCAATAAGTAAAAAAACATTTACAATAGGATAGCCATTTTGCTATATTATACATTATCAATATGTCAGCTACTGAAACAATGTATTTAAGATGTTTTTATGAAATAAGTACAGGTTGGAAAATGTATTTTTTTTTTTAACTCAACTGTTACAACTGTCCTTGTGTACAGGGACAGTTGTAGCACATGCCAGGCACGGTTGTAACATGTTAATAACGGTTACCTTTTTCACACTACATGACAACAAATAGGGAAAGTTGTCAAATTCTAAGGCAACAAGATTTGAATGGGGTTTCACATATCCCCCAACAAACAATGAACAGGATAACAGATAACACACACAGCATTATCCTCTGTGAAGGATTAAACTGTTCTCTGAGAGGTGCTTCTACCTTAATTATGTAGACCTACCTCCTTTGAGCTGAGACCATAATATAAATCAGCTGCCTCCATCAGATAGTCTCTCAAAAGCATCTCCTGCTCTGTTGAGAACACCTTCTTTGGTGTCCAGTAGCCTACTCTTGAGGGTGTTTGTGATCCCTGACTCTCCAACCTCAGCCTCCTCTTATGGAACCGGTACAGGGTGACATGGCATATATCCAGGGACTTTGCCACTTCCCTGAATGATTTGCCCTTCTCAACTTCATTTGAGGCCCTCTGCAGCAGAGCAAGTGGCACTCCCCTGTCTGTCTTCCTCTTTCTGACATTTGGCACACTGTAAACACACACACACACTTTAGGCCTACTGTACAGTATTTTATTCTGTTTATTTTTACAGGGACAATGCACACCAATCAACAATACAACTGTATGTTTGAATGAACACTTGATCATTCAAGCAAATGAGCCATCATTGTAAATGTGCCATGTTACAACCGTCCCAGGACCACCAGTCTTGCTGTGAACCTGCCTGGTTGCTAGCTTGACCCATATTTAGCTAGTTATATTTGTAGCTTACAAAACAGTGATTCTAATAATACTAGTTTGGATTCCTAGACATTTGAACTCAAGACAGTATCCAAAAAATACATCATATAATTTTAGTTAATATTTTACCTCAGAAACACACTTTTGCTGATATCTTACGTGAGAAATTCAAAAAATGCTCCTTATTTTCTCATCGATCTTACCATCTAACTGCGCATGTGCAGAGTGAGTTTCATCACTCTAGCTCAGGGGTGCCCAACCTTTTTTGAACCGAGAGCTAGTCTGCCGAGATCTACCAGTCCAAATAGAGAGGCGTAGTTACTGACAGCCTACTACCAGGTAAATACACACTTCTACTTGTATAAAACTGACCTTTGTACAATTAATACTTCATAAAATAATGCAGATCCTTTATCTTACCTCTTTCTAATCTACACACATACAAGTATTTAACTGAAGTTACACAACAGTATTGTTGATACAGAGTTGGAGTTTATTCACACGTCACTACAGTGGGTAATGTATTCAAGAAACATTGAACAGTGCTGCCACATATGACACAGGAAAAACAGAAAATACTCTGAACCCTTTCTTTGCCATTATATAAAAATAGTGTTGCTACAAAAGTATAAATTAGGCTTACTAATAAGACAACTCAGATCTGAAGCTACACAGGAATCTGCTGCAACAGTGCAATAAAAAAGACCAAATTAATAGAATCAAACCCTTTTTTTGTTGCATTTTAGTAGAGTATAAAAAGAAATGCCTTTAAAATAGGATGCTAGCAACAGTAGTTTCTTAACCTGAATTGATAATAGACTATAATCAATTTAAGTTTGCATTCTTATACCATTTTGTACAATAATTATAATGAATAAGTTCGCATTGCAGATGAGACAGATGGACTTTGAATTGGAATACATACAAACATAATCATCCTCCCACTCAGAGTGAAAATTATATATGTTTTGCTTCTGCCATAATTGCGGTCTTGTGTGTGTGCGGACTGTCACTCCTGTTGACACGGACAACGTTAGCGAACTACTGCCCACTGCCCACCAGCCACGCCCCGACACATGGGGTCATGCCGGCCAATCACAAAGCTTTGATGCGTTCAAGTGCATTATTCTGGCACAGGAAGATTATGTTACAGGACATTAACGATAAAACAGAATATTGTTGTTCTATTTTTAGACACATCTCGCGATCGACTGGGAATCTCCCCGCGATCGACTGGTTGGGCACCCCTGCTCTAGCTTGACCGACCCGTGTTACAACTGTCTCTGGTCTCCCCTACTCCTCCCACCTCTGGTCTTGTTTGTCATTTTTTAATAATCAACCTTTTTATCCTCATACTTTAGAATGAATATCCTACTTATAAATCCCAAATGTTTCATTACACTAATTATAAAACCAAACGGAAGCAAATAATTAAACATTTAAAAAAAAATTGAACTAATCAATGTTGGCCAACACTTTTAAAAGAAAGTTCTTCTCTCAAAGTATCGGAACCTAACCTTACCATAGTGCAAATTGAGATCATCATAATATAAATGCAGTGTTTCCATTAAAGATTTGGGTTTATTTAATGTCATAAAGATTTCCAATAAACATTTGCAGTAAGAAATAGCAATGTAAAACCAAACAATGTCGGGGACAAACAAATATAAATACATTATTTGATGATGATACATTCAGACAACAATTAAACTGTTTATTCTTTAAAAACAGAATTGGAAAGTAAGACTTTATTCAGCTCTGGTCAGAGTGAAAACATTAAAAGGCTGTTCTATGTTGTGTTAAAATGTGTGGAATAGTAAAACAGCTTGACTGTAGATTGGTGTCCTACCACTTAGCGAAGTAAACTAAGTCTTACTATAAAGTCAATATCATCCATCACATTAAACTAAAACACTATGTACAGGCTACTCGATCATCTCATTGTATATTCCAGTAAAAGATGCAAATCTATTCACAGTCCTTTTGTTATTCGACAGAAAAAAAGTGACTAAGAATCAACAGCTACTTTCATGTTAAACTACCCTGATTAAGACTCCTCTCTGATGGGAGTGCATAGAGAGAAGAAGCTGTTCTGACAGCTGGGCAGGAGTCGTTTCTTCTTCTTGAGGAAGCTGGCTGTTGTTCTGTCCTCCTCCATGTCCTCCATGTCCTCCTCCTCCTCCTCCCCCTCTGGCAGGAGAGGCTTCCGTGCCAGCTTCAGGTCTGCAGTGGTGTGTCCCATGTCACCGAGTTCTTTTAGCACCTTTAAAGTGATAATAATAATAGTTAATAAGATAATACATAATAATGATACACTTGATTTGTATAGCACCTTCCAAGTGCTTCACAGCAGAGAATTGACATTGACAAAATAGTCACAGAAAATGTATATCACATTAGTTTCAAATGAAAGACAACAAAATAGACATAAAATGAGCATAGAATATTAAATAGATTAACATTTAAGATAATATAATAGTGCATAAAAAGAGGATAGTGCAAATTCACATTGTGATTACAACTGAAAATAATGGCAGCATTGGGTTGACGTGATGTAGGCATCAGAGCATTGAGAAAGTGCAGCAGAGAGCAAGTGTTAGCTACCTAAAGGCTAAAGTGAACAGACATGTTTTGAGCTTTCTGTTAAAGACTTCCAGCGAGCATGCTTCCCTGATGTCTATAGGCATTTTGTTTCATAGCGTTGGGGCCAGGGTGGGAATTTCACGACGGCCACGACGGCCATGGCCGTCGTTGCCCCGCACTTTGGCCGCGATGCCCTGTGAAAAAAAATGCAATTCACGGCCAAAGTGGCCTTGGTGCCCCTGTCAAAAGTTCCAGTGTAAACAACGCTAGTGAAGTCATACTAGTGCGCGCAGTAGGATAGTCCCGTGCCTGTGGATCAGAGCGATTGCTCTGCTGTGATTGTTCCGTCAGAAATGCCTGTAGGGGCCCGACAGCCTGCTCCTCAGCCGCGGGAGCAAGACAAGCACAGGTAAGCAAGCGGACCAAGCTGTTTTGATATGATTTAACTGAAGTATGTGGTAGTATTTGAAAGGACTTAACATTTACGTGTTTATAGAAAGTACTATTGATAGGTAATTACCATTGTATTAGCCTATTTAAAGTTGACTCGTTACATTTTGTCATGAAAACTAGCGATAGCTAGCTAGTTTGGATAGCGCTAACGTCTTCCCTTCAAGGGGTCTACATCTAGTGTTGCTTCTACAAGCTAGCAGATAGCTGTCACCTTTGAATCTAGTATTTTTCTTGCTAAGCGGTTTTGATATAATACATGACTGACTTATGTGGTTTATGGCTGAACTTAACGTATACGTTTAAGAAACACTATTGCTATTCAGCCATTTGTAAAACGACTGGTGTTGACGTTAGTGCTACACTTTTCAGTCATGTTGATTGACCAGCGTAATTTAACCAAACGGCCTTTGTGCCCTGTCATGTGGCCTTTGTGCCCTTAAAAAAAATGTGACCGGGAAGGCCAAATGGCCTTGCCCCTAAAATGACGAAATTCCAAGCCTGGTTGGGGCATCATTGACGACGGCTGCATCATCAATCTTCTTTTTGTGGCGTTTCTGGGAACCTCTAACAAACCAGCAGCAGATGATCGCAGTGTTCCTGACGAATTAACCTGCAGATTAAAAAGGCTAAAAGTGAGACCAGAGGGCTTTTTTTTTTATTCTGTTGTGCCTGAAACGCCGTATGCTACTGAAGCAGCTGTTTTAGTAGTGGCCGGTTTAGAGGAGCGAGGAGTAGGCAGTCAATGATGGTACAAAACACGCAATACATTTGTATAACAGCAAACATCAGAGACCCTCGAGTACACTTTTATACTTAAAAGGAACATCATTCCGTGTATTGCCGAGTCTTCCTATTTGAACAGCTTTACCTTCTTAGTGGGTGTACAAGATGGCGGCTTGAAGAATGTGCTGTTGTCCGGGCTGACGGAAGTGGGATCCTGAAGAGAGTCTTTGGGAACACTGTCTGCCTGACTTCCATTCTAAAGTGATAATACCATTTTAGAATAATTATGGTTTCATGAAACAATCAAAGCATTTTATTTACAATGAAAGACAAAATCTGAGTGAACAGAAGAAACATGTTTGTGGCAAATGACATATGAATAGTTTAAACTCAGGTTATTATGGTTTATTCAAGTATTTCTTTGAATTGACTCAAATATAATATTATTATTCTAAATCCAGTAATTGTTATTTCGATTTTTTTTACTAAATAAAAAATCTTGATATGTTAAGTTTTATTTTCCATCGATGACCCTGAACTTGTGAATCAGTTTATCAATCCAGATTAGTTTTACTAAACACAGAACACAGATTGATTATAAACAGTCCTATATACAAATAGTACATTTAACAAATATTTACGTAATCTATTTTTGAATATCTTATCGTTAGATCATTTACCTCGGGATCCATATTTCGACACTTCTCACGGCCACACTGACAGTTCTCCCCGCAGCTCATCTTCCCTTTACGGCACCTGCATAAGCGGTTACTGCAGCGACCTTTACACGCACACTAAAGAAAGAGAAATGACATTTCCATCACAAGTCACACACATATAGTTTGCAGGTTCATTTCTAGCCTTCCTTTATAGAGCGATATAACAGGATGATGTGTTTAATGAACCTCTCAACTGAACCAAAGGTGGGCTATTCCTCACTACTCTGCTGTGAGATTGCATTTGATATCGTGGTTATGGTTGTTCTCGCCCTGCATGATCTTTACGCTGTGTCGAGAGTCAGCGTCTATAAACAAATAACCATTTTGAAGATTATCCAAATAGTCTTACCCCCGTAGCTTTTGGTTTTTTTGAGGCTCTGCGGGTCCCAGCTTTCACAGGGCGCCACTCATCCTCATTCCGTTCATCCTCATCGTCGGACGTCAGCTCGTCCATGTCGATGTCGATGTCCTGCTGCACCTTGGCTGTGGTGGTAAAGCGCTTCCCTTTGGGCTGACGGTGGGGGGAAAGCAAAGAGCAATCAACACACTTGGACCTTCAAATGAAGTTCTCTTTAAGATCATTTATATCTACATCTCATTTTATATCAAGATATTGTTTAAAGAATCATTGACTCTTGATATAAGATTGTATTTCATTTGAAACATTGGTCCAGGCTCAAACATGTTCCCAGACTTTGGGGGAAATAACCTACATTAGCCTAGGGATGGGTACCGAGACCGTGGTACCGTTAAGCTCCGACGTTATCTGTCTTTTTATCGGTACTGGAGACATCTAAAATATATGTCATATGTATTATTGCTACACAAACATTATATTGCAGTTTTAGTGTCGCCAACTCTGTTTCTAATACGCAAAAAGACTGCAAAATGTCTCGATTATTTTTTGTATTTTCGATCTTCCCAATCCAGCCGAGAGATCTCTCTCTCCCGCCTGCTTGCGAGGGGGCGGGGCAGTTTACACACACGCAGCTGCTACATGCAGCAACACACACACGGAGGAGATGGCGGAGAGAACGCGCTCCGAGGTGTGGTTAAACTATAGCCGTGTCGATGTGGAGAATGCTCGTTACAAAAAGTGCAATAAGAGTTTAGCATGTAAGGGCGGTAACACGAGCAATTTGTCTAAACATTTAGCAAAAGTGCTCCACATTCAGACGGAGGAATGCACCGGGTTCCACTGTCTTTCTAGCAGCTCTGTAGCCCCATCCACGAGTAACGTTTCCACGTCAGGTGTTATGTATGCTACAGTGCATGACATTAAGGATTTTGGGAGATGGCCCTGTGGGCCATCTAAGCTAATTTACAGATGGCCCTGAGCCCAATAGAGATTGCCCTGAAAAATGCGTGCGGACGAAATGACGCACGAAGGGTTTGGGGGGCCTCACCCTAGAACATTTAGATTTTTGCAGGTCTTAGATGCTGTCTGGTGCATTCTCTAGACTGAATTATAAGATGAACCACCACAATATTATATTGTTCAATTGTATTCTTCATTTCACTTGTTTGTTTGTTCTTGTTTGTGTGTGCTCACTTGCATGCCCTGCATAGCTATAAGAAATACTTAAGTTGTTGATCAAGACACTTTCCATCTGATGAAGGCAAATGCCTTCCCAGATGTAAAAAAAGTAGAAAACATTACATTCAGTTATAACTACGAAAACAAACATTATTTACACTATTATGGCCCCTGTTAAAAATGTTTGTAATGTTATCTACTGTAAATTGGTCGAACGAATGCCTCCTCATCCGGAAGCTGACCGAGCAGACCCGAGCAGCAGTCGAGAGGAGCCGAGTTCCCGTTAGCCGGCAAATCTAAATCTCTTCGGTCAAAATAATTTCCCTTTAGCGCAATACCGCTTCAATTGCGCCACTTATGTGACAGACAAGAAGAGTATGTGACAGACAAGAATAGTCAATTCTAATGTCTAACACTTAATGTGGAGAAAGAGATGTCCTGTATGGGTTGATTGTGCGTTGATCTGTTGGTAATGCCTCGGGGTTCCGGTGGGCATGTAAACAAATGTATAATGCTGCGCTATACTTTGTGGCCTCATCCGGTTGCATAGCGACACTTATTGTTTAGGTGTCTTTTAATAAGCAGGTAGTCATATCATTAGCTAGAACTAGCTGGATCTGATCGATATGGACATAAACGCGAGTGAAGTCTAATCTGACGGGAGAGAGAGATCAGCTGCTGCTGACGAGTCGACACGCAGCTCTGCAGTGAGCGGAACAAAACACACACTTCAGGTTAGAATATCACACGTAGCTATTTTAATGACCTCTCAAACTACCTAAACTAGTTATAGATATGTTTAGTTTTACTGAGCTGCATGATACTGGCATAATAGATTGCCTGATCGGGCAACCAGCAGGTGAGGCTTCATTGCCCGAACTAAATACTAGACGGCCCCGGGCCATCGGGCAGTCCTTAATGTCGAGCCCTGTGCTAGCAGCAACACACGGAGTTAACTACATTATATAAACATGGGTTAATGATTAGAGGTAACTGAGTTATTTATTTGGTTAAAGTTTCAGCTATTCTGTTCACAGTTCTGTCATCAGATTATTTAATACCATTTGTTAAAACACTGTTGTTTCCTTTGATGTGAAATATTATTTATTTAATTTAAATAAAAAGCAATGTTAGTTTTGTTCACAATTTGTTTAGTTAGTTTACCTTATCTCCAATAGAACCGATAAGAGTACCGTTAAAGGACCGGATCGATAAAAGTAGTAGTACCGTTAAAACCTTAACGATACCCATCCCTAAATTGACATTCAAAACCAAAGGATGGAAGACTCTCTGCCACGACTTACCTTTGGAGGAACGTACTCAAACGAGTCGTCTGCATTGTTGGCAACGTTGGTGGCCGTAGGCATGAGGACGTTCTTATGACTGGCCAGGTTGAGCAAAGAGATTTTCTGCAGAAAAATAAAGTTCAGAAATAGAACAGTAAGGTTACATTTGAACAAGTCGTCATAATTAAGCCTTAATGGGGAAAAACACTTTTACATAACAGAAAAAAGTATTCCCCCCCCCCAGTTGATTTTAAGTCAACAATCTCATAAGTGTAGTATCCAATAGTACCTTGTATTACATTATTATTTTAATGTGAAGTTAAAAATATAAAAGGAATGGAAACAGATGGAAGACGATAATGTTAACATAAATAATACAGTTACCTGTTTACACTGCTCATTCTCCTCCAACAGCGCCTGGTGCTGCTCTCTTAATCCTCGTAGCTTTTCAAGCTCTTCTTCCTAAAATGATGTTACAAATAACAATATGATGAACTTTTTCTCCTAAAAGAAAGGTGAGTTAAAGTATGATCAAACACTCTTCTTTTAGTGGAGACAAACCTGAATTTGGAGGCGCTGGAACAGTTCCTTCTCCTTGGCGCTCTCCTCTTCCTCCTTTGTTTCGGCCGACTCTTCACATATGGTTTTGTTCTGTATTTGGTTAATGAGGTACAGGACCTGTGCAAAGGAACAGAAACAGATGTATAGAACAGATATGTCCAAGTATGCATGTCTCTAAGATATATGAACATTGGAAAAGGAGTAAAGCACCTTCTCTTGATGCCTCTGCTCGAGCTCCACCATCTGCACCTGGTGCTCCATGTCCATGGTGGACATGACGTTCCTCTCGTCAGCCATGGTCTTCCTCAGGTCCTGAGCATTCCCCGCCTCCTGTTTTAGCTCGCTCTCCAGCTTGCCACTGACGGTTTTCGCAGAAACCAGCTGAATGAAAAGGGAACAGTTGATGTTTTTCAGAAACACAAACTCAACATATGAATAATATATATTACGATGTTGTGATTTGAAATCATCTTTGAGTACTTGCTCACCTCAGACACGAGGAGCTTAAGGGCACACTTGGCATCCACGATGCTTGTGATGCTGTCGAAGCGCTGCTTCATGCGCCCCTCGCTGTCGGCGACGAGGACTTTCCGCTGAAGGTCGGCTATCTGGGCATTCCTGTGAAGAGAGGAATCACTCTGAGCCATCGCTGCAATAAGCTCCATAATCAATTCATTGTTTCTTCTTATTCATTTTAGGGCTAATCTTGACTGAAGAAATTCTTAGTCAACAAAATAAACTAACCCACTCATAAGATTTTATTTTTTTTAAGAATGATGCTGTGCTAACGTATTTTGAAAAGAAATCCTTTAGCATAGCATAAAAAATGACCAATAAAAAAAGTGACTAAAAATCTAGTGTAGTTTGAAAAAGTCACAAAATCTGTACAGGACTGACAGGAAATAAAAGCACACACAATATTTTTTTTGGGCATCATTTAATGTTGTGTAAATGACAATTGATAGGCAGGTTATTCAAGCTATTGTAAGGCAGAGTAGGATGAATGCTGGTCTTAACATGTTTGGAATATGTGAAATGCAGTGAGTGCAGGTTGTCAGACTCACCTGAGGGCCATCTCTGTCTCCAGGTTCTCCACCTGTTTGGTCAGAGGCGCCTCCAGCGCCCCATGGGTCTCCAGCTCAGAGATGATCAGGGTCCGGCGCTGCATGGAAGGACATCGCAACACAAGACATTGATTCTTTGTAACATTTACAGTTTACTTTCATATGCAATGGATTCAGTTAAGTAGATTACTCAGTTTTGTGGATTCTTTTAATGAGTTTGCAGCCTGTAAAATGAAACACTGGCGTGACGATGTCTGGTAAAAGCCAATCAGCCGTGAGAATCTCAGCCTGTTGTCAATGACGTTTTAGAATCAGAAAACCAAAAAACACCAGCCATTGGCTCGTGGGCGACAGCACACAGAGTTCCATATATATGTTCGGAAACTGGACAAAAATAAGTGTTTGTATAAAAACTAGAAACTATGAACACTCGATCAACTCGGCGGCTGATCGATCGGAGCATCCCTAGATACAACGGTAGCTTAGTCTCGCCAGACCGATTCGATCTCCAATCAGAAACCTGTTTTTTGTCTGCAGTCTTTTAAGAACACTTAATTCATGGTTTTTACTAACCGGTAACAGTATGTAGTATTATTTTGATTTGTGTATTTGTATTATCTAAAGCCAGTTGAATAGCACTTGAAATGTGTTGGCTCTATGAAACCTGATTAGAAACTTATATAGCCGCGTTCACACTTTTCCCACTTTAGTTCCGATATAGTTCCGAAATGTCGCGTTCAAGAGCCGGAAATAAAATTAGTTCATGAGAACCTTTTCACCCCCTTTTCCATCCCTGCTAGAGAGCAGGTACTTTTGTGGGAGAAAAAGGTTCCTATGTCTGATTGGCTGGGCGGATTGCAAACCACGCCCCGTAAAACTCCCAAAAAGTTTTGTGAAGCCGCCATTTTATTATCCTCGCATTAGCATTATTAGCATTAGCATTCGCCCAGCGCAGAAACGCAGAGAGACTAACTTATGGCAACACAAAAGAAAACATGGAGATGAGGAGGTGTCGGCGTTCTGTTCGGCGTTCTGGCGATTTACTCGGAAGGCTTCAGTAGAAGTTGCTGGGAGTCAGCAGCTTCTACTGAAGCCAGTCTCCAACTCCGGGGACTTCGGGTGGCAGTATACGCCGTGAAGTGGTTTGCGGCCTGCCAGTAAACCCAAAGCAGAAGAAGAAGTGACGTCAGCGGCTTCATTTGCCTAATCCTTCATGAGAACTAAAGAGTTCTCATGAACTAAGTTCTCATGAACCTTTGTGGGAAAAGTACTGCGATGTGAATGCGCCTTATGATTCTGTTTTCTCCAAGTTTATATCTTCTTGGTCGAATGCACTTATTGTATGTCACTTTGGATAAAAGCGTCAGCTAAATGTAATGTAATGTGTATTACAAATAAATCATGGCAAAATGTGTTAATGTTGTTGTTGGCATCTACATGGAGATAAGCCCCGCCTCCTCGCAAGCATGATTAGTTTGAGTGAAGCAAGTACAGTAAACACAAAGGATGCCGTGGTCTAACTCATGCGAGTAACGTGGGTTCAGCTTTCTGGTAGAGAAATAAAGCTCACCCTGATTTTGGCAGCAGGCCGGTCCCCTGCCTCCATCTGCTGTTTCAGGTGGTTGATCTCCTGGGCCAACACCTTCCTGTCGTCCAGCAGGTCGTTGAGGTGGCGCCGGGCCTCCTCTGTGCTGACCATCACCTCCACTTCATTGAGAAGCCAATTCTGATCACATAAATACGGACAATATTTACAAATACACAACAAAGACTTTAGTCCAAAACATCTGACTTAATATAATGACGCAGAACATCTTTAACATATTTGCAGCTTACTCAATCAATGTGAAATTTCAGGGAGGATAATTTTACAAATATAAAATTGATAACAACACAAACACATTTTCACTTCTGATAACCTTCTGTTGTGTCCGGGAAACACCGGACAATGTGAAGACCTAATTCTCTGTATATTCTTGGGAGCTCAAATGATAAAACAATAAGAATTAAACTCATTTGATACAATTCCAACTAGCCCCAGCGTTGCATACAGTAAGCATTGGTAGTTAGCTTAGCAAGACAATTCTGGTTCACAATAATCAATGGAGGAAAGAGTAAGGAAACAATCAACAAAACGATGTAGAGATATATCCAGGGTTCATACACTTTTTCACCAATGATTTTCAATGACTTCTCAATGACCTTTACCTCATTTTCCATGACCAAAAAAAAATTACCACTGAAAATGGTTTATTTTAACATGGAACAGGAAAATAAGGTCTGCATATGAAACATGTAGTGCCTATCTAAAACAAATCAAATAGTAGGCTTACTAGCTTCTACACGCTAAAGCAACAGGTATGAAAAAGGTGACAAGCATCCGAGCCCCCGACCCCACGGAATATCGGTTTAGGAATAACAGAGGATTTTAGCAGTCAGAACAACTAGAGCAGCAGTGTCAATAATAACAGAAACGCTAAAGAGTCACATCTAATATAAATATATTAAAGCATTTATTTTAATTGTGTAGCAGTCAGTTTATAATTTAGGCTGTTGAGCATTTTGAAAATGTATTTTCATGCCTCTGTGCAAGGCTTAGTCTTTCTATCTGTATAGCCAGTGGTGTAAAGTAACTAAGTTCATAAACTCAAGTACTATACTTGGGTACAATTTTGAGATACTTGTACTTTATTAAGTATTTCAATGTTTTGCTACTTTTTACTTCTACTGCTCTACAGTTCAGAGGTAAATGGTGTACTTTGACTCCACTACATGTATTTAATCCCTTTAGTTACTTTACAGATCTGGATGAATGATGTGAAATATAACCAAGAGTTAAATCAGACTTTAGTTCCACCTGGAGTAAATCCACCAGCTACCCTGCAGTATACTAAGTCATTCAAACTAGCTGCACCTTTACCAGCTTTGAGAACACTTTCATGATCAATCATTATAAAACATATCATATATATTATTCTGAAATGGACCAAACTGCACAATGACTACTTTTACTTTCGCTACTTTCACTATATTTTGATGAGAATACTTTTCTACTTTTACTTGAGGAACATTTTGAATTCAGGACGTTTACTGTAACAGAGTATTCTGACACTCTGATACTTTTACTCAAGTACAAGATCTGAGTACTTCTACTTCTACTAAAGTACAAGATCTGAGTACTTCTACTAAAGTACAAGATCTGAGTACTTCTACTTCTACTAAAGTACAAGATCTGAGTACTTCTACTAAAGTACAAGATCTGAGTACTTCTACTGTTACTCAAGTACAAGATCTGAGTACTTCTACTTTTATTAAGTACAATATCTGAGTACTTCTACTAAAGTACAAGATCTGAGTATACTTCTACTTTTACTCTAGTAGCCTACAATCTCTATACTTATACCACCTCTGTTTATAGCCTATGAAAAAAACTATTAGAAAACGAAGGCTAAAGCTAACGTTAGCAGATAGTGACAATGATATTGCGACAGAAAAACGTTTCAGTTCACATCACGCTCTGCGGCTCTGCTCTGAACACCTGAACGGCCCGTTCTAACAGCTGTTCACCAGCGGCTCAGTCTGTGCCACAGTGACTCCGCACAGTTAACGAACGCACCGTAGATAATGTAGCTGACCCTCATCCCGGAGCAGCAGAGATCAGCCGGCCCGACAGGCAAGAAGACTCGAGCACACAGCTCGAGCTTCATATATTAAAAAATAACACCATGCGCGTCATGATGGCACATAACAGCTCGCGACCGCAGATTATTTCGGCGGTTAGATCAAATGTAAATTATAATTATATTTGACGCAACTTTAGTTACATTTCCATGACTTTTCCAAAACTTTGGGAAACATATTGTTTTCCATAACTTTTCCAGGGCCTGGAATTTGCATTTTGAATTTCCATGACTTTTCCAGGTTTTCAATGACCGTACGAACCCTGTATATCGCTCAGTCCGAGTAAACATGAATAATGTTTGTTTGCGCTTAGTGGTTGACCAAACACAGGCCTTGGTGACTACAGAGAGGAATTCAAACAAATGCTATTACCTTAACTCGTGTAGCAGCTCCCTCTATTCCTCTGTGGCGTTTGTCTGCTACCTCACTTCTCTTCAGCAGGGCATCTTTCAGCCGCTTGTTTGCTGCTGCAGCCTGCAGGAGGAAAACGTATTCATATAAGGAAAGTAGCAGCTACTTCATAGATGTTGAACAAATTCAATCCAGCACACTACTTGAAGATCTTAAAGGTATGCCTCACCTCTTCAGTTTTACGACGCAGAACACTGGCCTGTTTCTGAAAATCCCTCTCAAGTTTAAGCAACTCGTACTGCCGTTTACGATCCTGTTGAACAGATTCAATCAAATCAACTGTGAGCCAGGTAACATTAATAAATGCGTCAAAGGGAAAACAAGTTAAGCAGCAAAAAGGTATGAATAAAAGGATGTAGCGAGAACATGTCCTGCAGTGAAGAACTTGATTTCCACACACCTTCTCCTTTAGCTGCAGCACCTCCTTATCCTTCATGCTCTTCCATTGTCTGAACTTCTCAGAGTCCTCCCTCATCTGCCTCATCAGCTGCGTACGCTGGTTCTTCATCGCCTGTGAGAACACAGCGTTACCGTGTTAGGATCTGGCTCACATGTATTCAAAGTTGTGGTAAATAACAGCAGTGCTCTTTGCCAATGCGCATGCCGTGTGATAAAGGTCAAAAGAAAATATGGATTGGTGGTTTACAAGGAATTCCACCACCAAGAGACCATGTTCTATGCACTTAAGTGAATGGGACACTATATATGGTCACTGCTATTTAGTTAATATCTTATCAAATAGAGTATCAACTTCATTTTAATATTATTAATTAATAGATAAATAGTACATTTTATTCATAATATTATTGAGATGGCGGTGTGACCCAAGAAGGATCTATTTAGTTCTTTGATGGTATTATTAAAAAAGGCAATTTGTTCAGTACAGTAACAAAGACATCCGATAAAAGCAGTATAAGTGCATGTTAATGCTCAACATAATGTTCTATTTTTCTTTTAAAGGAACTAGATGATATAAAAAGTCATTCTTTATTACCTGTATCTCATGCATGAGATTGCCGACTTTCTTCACGGAGGTCTCCTTGAGTTTGAGCATTTTGGACTGATCCAGAAGTTTTTTCTTCATGTCCACCAGCTGGTTCTCGAGCTCCTGCAGTCTCTTCCGGCGCTGCTCGCTGAGCCTGGAAGAAGGTGAAGCAGACAGGAAGTTAAAAGTGAAGGCTTATGAGGTTACTTCCGAATAAAGAAGTTACAGGCACAACCAAGATATTGAAGTGTTCATACTTAGCCTGGCTGGTGTCTTTCTTTGCAGACTGCAGTGCAAGAAGGAGATCCTCTTTCTCCTTCTGCAGCGAATCCACCGAAGTCTGCAGACTATGAAAGTTTTTCTGTAGGAAGCAAAGAGAAAGATTTTATCCTCGTTTGACACACACAAGTACAAGTATAAATACAAATAAAAACAATACATTTAGGATAAACACTGAGTAGCTGAGTTAACACATATACAGATATGATAAGACGAAAACAATGGAAAAAGAGAAATCTCCAACGAGGCGTTCTGGGGCAGCATGGACACGTCTTTTCTGTGTTAGAGTTTTACTCGCTAAAGGGTGTACTTTGAGGGTTTGTGACTCTGCAGACCGTTTACATGCAGAAAAAGCTACATAACACACAAGGGGACGGGTAATAACCGGAAAAGCATGGCATGGGACCTTTAAATAGTTCGGAGTGTAATAATCAAGATTCTTCATCAGCGAGACTAAACAAATATGGACCCTGAATTGAACTAGAGCTGTCGTCCATAGAAAATAATGTGCGCCAGGGAACCTATGTTCCAGATAAAAGAAGGGCCTCTAGATGTTCCTGAACAATATTCTATCTCATATCAGCTTTTGCTCGGTCATAAGCTGGCAACAACAATGCGCCCAAGCTGCCCCTCCTTAAGAGAGATAGCAGCAATACCCAAGGCCGTAGACCTATGCCATGGGGAAAGAGATAGTGAAAGGAGAAAATTATGAACTGGGTCAAAGGTTGAATACCTCAGCAAATTATTCCCTAATGATGTATATGGGCAAATGTGAGTTACATTACATTACATGTCACTTGTTAGACGCTTTGCCTTTTATCCAAAGCGACTTACATACTCAATACTGTGGGCAATCCCCACAGGAGCAATTTGGGGTGAAGTGTCTTGCCCAGGGACACAACGACATGCTGACTGCAGTGGGGTTTGAACCTGTGACCCCTGATCCCAACACCAATGCACTATCCACTGCACCATACCCCGAGTTCAAAGTAGGTACATTACAGGTAGGGGGCCATTATTCCGCATTTGACCAATTATCTGTATCGGCCTTTTTTTTCAATCAAATTGCCGTTAAAACTTTGGCTCTGGTGCGGCCGTTTCTCTGGCTGCAGTCACCACTCTGTGTACACGAGCAATGTCCCGCCCACAGCGCTATCTGATAGGCTATTACTGAAGTGTCAATCAACACTGAAAATGTTCCGGGCGGGAGCCAGCCAGAGAGGCGGGACCTTCTCAGATTACAGGCAGGTACGAAAGAACGCAGGTACAGACTGAAGCAAGCAGCAGCGCTGAGCGGCAGAGCCATACATGTGTTAAACCGAAGTTCAATAAACATCCCAATCCCTTATGCTGAAGATGCAAAAACACCACGATCTTATGATCCAATCCTATCAGTTTCCCAGTTACGCGGGAAGTCAGTCAGAGTTGGGGGTGCGTGCAGCGTCTCGCAGCGGAGTAACTGTGGTACGGAGGGGGGGGGGGGGGTCCGAGTGGAGCCTTGCAGTTGTTCAGGTTGACATGTGAAGCTCATTAGCTAGCCAACATGTATCTAGCAAATGTTTAGCAAAATATTAGACGTTAGGTCTACTGTAGTGGCCTCACTTTTAATAGTTTGCAAAACATTAGCTAGCACTAGTGTTTTGCAGTTGCTAGCAGTTTATTGGGATGTTATGCTAGATAGACAGGCATTGTTTTGATATAATAAATTAAGCATTATTGTTAGTTAAGCATGTCAGCCTGCAGCCCCACTTTTAACTCTCTGTCTCTCTAACTCATTGCAGATGGCTGCACTAAAAAAAAGGGCACAGAGAGGAAACCAGTTGTAAGATGTTTAAAAGTTCATTAAACATAATATATGCTTAAATGCATTTCAAAGAAGTTGTGTTAGAGTTTGTGTTATTCTACATTTTGACACCAAGATTTTCTGATTTTACTGCAAATGTATATCGGTTCCAAATATCGGTTATTGGTCTCCTTGATTACTAATAATCGGTATCGGCCTTGAAAAAGCCATATCGGTCGAGCCCTAATTACAGGTATCCAAATGTACTGACAGTTCCGCCTTTAATAAGACACCCGCTGAGAAGCCAACTCTGGTTATTGGTAGCTCTATTATGAGACACGTGAATTTAGAGACCGAAGCCTCCACAGTCACATGCATTCCGGGGGCCAGAGCGGGCGACGTTGAGGCGCATCTTAAACTGCTGGCTAAAAATAAACGTAAATACAGTAGGATTGTTATTCACGTCGGTGGTAATGATGTTCGTGTACGCCAATCAGAATGCACCAAACTTAATGTGGAGTCGGTGTGTAGTTATGCTAAAACAATGTCGGCCACCGTAATCTTCTCTGGTCCCCTCCCCAATCTGATCAATGATGACATGTATAGCCGCATGTCATCATTTCAGCGCTGGTTGTCTTGGTGGTGCCCAGCAAACAATGTGGGCTTCGTAAATAATTGGACAGCCTTCTGGGGAAAACCTGGTCTGATTAAGAGAGACGGCATTCATCCTACTTTGGAAGGTGCAAATCTCATTTCGGCAAACATTTCAGGGCTTTGTGGACTTAATCCATGACAAACTGGAGTTGAGACCAGGAGGCGGAGTCGCAGTTTTACACGCTTCTCTGCGCTCTCTCCTAGGCAGTCATCCATAGGAATCCCAAACCCAATAAAATACCCAATATTAGCGGTGTGTGTGTCTGCCCAAGGACAAGTTAAGGTAAAACCTAATAGAGGTGTCATACATAATAACCTAATAAAAGTAAATGTAACAACTACTACAGTGCAACAAAACAGGAATATTAAATGTGGTCTCTTAAACATAAGATCTCTAGCATCTAAAGCAATATTGGTAAATGATTTAATATCAGATTATAATATTGATATATGCTGTCTCACTGAAACTTGGTTGAGACATGAAGAATATGTCAGCATAAATGAGGCCACTCCACCCAGCCATATCAATACTCATATTGCCCGAGGCACGGGCCGAGGAGGTGGAGTTGCAGCAATCTTTGACTCAAGTTTACTTATCAATACTAAACCAAAATTAAATTATACCTCCTTTGAAAGTCTCGTTTTTAGTCTTACGCATCCGACCTGGAAAACTTTGCAGCCAATCTTATTTGTTACAGTGTACCGTGCACCAGGTCCTTATTCAGAATTCTTATCAGAATTCTCTGAGTTTTTATCAACTTTGGTACTTAAAACAGATAAAGTAATTATCGTAGGTGACTTTAATATTCATGTTGGTTTTTGTCAGAGTGTAAATAAACCAACCCACTGCTATAATCACACTCTTGACCTTGTTCTGACTTATGGTATTGAAATTGAGCAACTATTAGTCGAACCGCATAATCCTGCTTTATCCGACCATTTCTTAGTAACTTTTGAAGTACTGTTACGAGACTACAAAGCATTAGTCAAAAGCTCCTGCAGCAGAAACCTATCTGTTAGTGCTATAGCCAAATTTAAGGAAGAGATTCCACCAATACTTAACTCGATAGCATGTCTGCATGTAGGGGAGGAAACGTATACAAAATGTACACCACCCCAAATTGATCATGTTGTTGATAGTGCTACAGATGCGCTGCGAATAAAATTAGACTCTGTTGCTCCTTTGAAAAAGAAGAAAATAAAACAACATAGATTAGCTCCATGGCATAATGCCGAAACCCGCAAAATAAAGCAAAAGTCGAGACAACTTGAAAGGATATGGCGTTCCACTAAACTTGAAGAATCTCGTTTAATTTGGCATATTACTCTCAATGAATATAAGAAAGCACTGCGTAAAGCGAGAGCAGCTTACTACTCTTCATTAATAGATGAGAATAATAATAATGCAAGATTTCTTTTCAGCACTGTAGCCAGGCTGACAGAGAGCCACAGCTCGATTGAGCCTTCTATTCCCATAGCACTCAGTAGTAATGATTTTATGTGCTTTTTTAACGATAAAATTGTTACTCTTAGAAACAAAATTAATGACCTCTTGCCTTTGACCAGTATAGTGTTATCAACAGCTCCCGGAAACCTAAGTTCTAATATTACACTAGATAGTAAACTAGAATGCTTTTCAGCCATAAACCTTGAACAATTAAATTCAATGATTCTCTCTTCTAAACCATCAACGTGTATGTTAGACCCAATTCCAACTAAGCTGTTGAAGGAAGTTTTTCCATTAATTAGCACTTATTTATTAAATATTATGAATATGTCTTTATTATCAGGCTATGTTCCACAATAATTCAAAGTAGCAGTGATAAAACCGCTTCTTAAAAAGCACAACCTCGATCCAGAGGTTTTAGCCAACTATAGACCTATTTCCAATCTTCCGTTCCTCTCAAAAATTATTGAGAAAGCGGTCGCAAAACTGTTGTGTGATTACTTAAAAAACAATGATTTATTTGAAGCTTTTCAGTCTGGCTTTAGAACACATCATAGCACAGAGACAGCTCTGGTTAAAGTCACAAATGACATTCTAATAGCCTCAGACAAGGGACTTGTCTCTATTCTTGTTTTGCTCGATCTCAGTGCTGCATTTGATACTATCGACCATGATATCTTATTGCAAAGACTAGAGCACTTAGTTGGCATACAAGGAACTGCTTTAGGCTGGTTTAGGTCCTATCTATCTGAACGCTCTCAGTTTGTACGTGTCAATGATGAATCTTCCACGCAAACCAAAGTTAGCCATGGAGTGCCACAGGGCTCAGTGCTCGGACCTATTTTTTTCACATTATATATGCTTCCGTTAGGCAATATTATAAGGAATCATTCTGTACATTTTCATTGTTATGCGGATGATACTCAACTATATTTATCAATCAAGCCTGATGAAATTAATCATCTAAATAAAATTCAAGACTGCCTTAAGGACTTAACAACATGGATGACCTTAAACTTTTTGATGTTAAACACGACCAAAACTGAAGTTATTGTACTTGGCCCGAAGAATCTACGAAACAAATTATCTAAGGATATATTAACTATGGATGGCATTAATTTGGCCTCCAGTGAGACTGTAAGGAATCTTGGTGTTATATTTGATCAGGATTTATCCTTTAACGCCCACATAAAATCAATTTCAAGGACCGCCTACTTCCATCTACGTAACATTGCAAAAATCAGGCATATCTTGCCTCAAAACGATGCAGAGAAACTAGTCCCTGCATTTGTTACTTCAAGGCTGGATTATTGTAACTCCTTATTATCAGGGTGTACCAAGAAGTCAGTCAAGTCGCTTCAGCTGATTCAAAATGCTGCAGCTCGTGTACTAACCAGAGTTAGGAAAAGGGACCACATTACTCCTGTTCTGGCTGCCTTACACTGGCTCCCTATAGAACACAGGATAGAATTTAAAATTCTTCTTCTCGCCTACAAAGCCCTTAATGGGCAGGCGCCATCTTACCTTAAAGAACTCATTATACCCTATTGTCCTACTAGGGCATTGCGTTCCAAGAATGCAGGGTTGTTGGTTGTTCCTAGAGTCTCTAAAAGTACAATGGGAGCCAGAGCCTTTTCTTATCAAGCTCCACATTTGTGGAATCAGCTTCCAGTTTGTGTTCGGGCGGCAGACACCCTATCCGTTTTTAAGAGTGCGCTTAAGACCTTCCTTTTTGATAAAGCTTATAATTAGGGCTGATTAGATTCAGCCCCTAGTTTTGCTGATATAGGTTTAGTTTGTCGGGGGACATCTTACTTCTTCCTTCTCTCTGTCTATACCTGTGTACTCTCATGTTCCGATTAACCCAGCTTCCCCAAATGTCTTTCTTTTTGGTGTCTATATACGCTGGGATCCGGAGTCATGGATGATCCTGCGCTCCTGTGTCCTGCATCGCGAGCCCTGGATCTTGAATCGTGGCTGTGGTCCTGGATCATAGGTCCTGGATGGATATCCTCGTGGATTCATCTTCCTATTATACACACATGCATTTCCAAACATTTGGACTACCTATGTTGCAAATGTATTATATTTTCAATTTACACACGGCATCTATTGCATGTCTGTCCGTCCTGGGAGAGAGATCCCTCCTCTGTTGCTCTCCCTGAGGTTTCTCACATTTTTCTCTTTAAACTGTGGGTTTTCTCTGGAAGTTTTTCCTTGTACGATGTGAGGGTCTAAGGACAGAGGGTGTCGTATTGTCATACTGATATTTTGTACAAACTGTAAAGTCCACTGAGACAAATGTAACATTTGTGATATTGGGCTATATAAATAAACATTGATTGATTGATTGACTGTTGCTTTCCAGACATTCACAGAGCTCACTGACTTTCAAAACATGAACATTCCTATAACAGGCTGTTGCAGGCAGGGATGCGAAAAGCCCATCTATGAGCCAACAAAGAATATGCCTGTTATTGTAAAATGTTATTTCTTCATGTTCAAATATTCAGAAAAAATAATGTGGTTTATATTACTGTCATATTACTCATGACATTTCACAAGAAGCAACAAGGTTACATTGACATCCCCCATCCTGAAGTAGTAAACATGTGGTTGCAGTGGAACAACAAATACTGATATTTTGTACAAACTGTAAAGTCCACTGAGACAAATGTAACATTTGTGATATTGGGCTATATAAATAAACATTGATTGATTGATAATAACTCACGTGGTGCATAATCAATGTCAGTTACTTAAAAAAGCAACTATGAATGAATCCATTTTGTTTAATTAAGTCATAAAGTCAAGTTAAATATTTCTGATTAACCAAATGAAAATAACTCAGATCCAATATTGTTGGGAGGGTCCATATATTGATAGAAAATCCTCTTACCTGGTGCTCTAACTGCATCGGCTCGAGCTGGGTGTCATTCTGGCACATGTTCCGCACAAAGGCTTCCTTCAAGCTCAACACTTTGTTCAGCTCTATCAGTTCCTTGGAAAGCTGGGCCTGCCGCAGAGCATGATGGGTTGTAAAGCCTTCTGGGGAGTGCTTTCCATCAATGCCAGTGCCATCCTGTGAGAGAGGTAGGAAACATCTTAATTTGCATACGGTTCAGTAGGGGGGATTCTATGATCAATAAATATGTACATGAGAAAATAAATGTCACTTTAGAACATTCTATAAAATGACTGAATTTTATTTTCATCACATATATTTGTAAACCTATAAAATGTGCAGATTCAGTGGTAACGAAAGCACAGTGCAGTGTACCGAGTTGTCAGTAAGATAAAGTAAAGATTCAAAGACTTAATTACTACAGCATCATTTGACCCTTAAATCCCAGGCTTATGCCACAAAGCAACCAATAACATTCAGGGATGCAAACACACGTATGGGGGAAAAAAGAGAGCAATTTGAAGCAGAAACAAAACAGTGCAATATACCATCTGGCAAAGGCCTGTGCTATAATCAGGGGTGCGCATAACTTTTTTGCCCTGGTTCTCAAAGGAGCACCTGGAGATGTTGCTTGGCGCTCATCCTTAAAATGAAATAAACCCTAACTTTTGAAGGGGTCTTGACTTTATTTGCCAGACACACGGCACTGAACACACATGCAGAGGTGAACACAGAACACACATGCAGAGGTGAACACAAGACAACATGCAGACAGAGGTGAACACAAGACAACATGAGCACGACCAGTAATCCTACAAGCTGTCATCACTACCCTCCTGACTGTTCTCCTCACTGTCTTCCTCTCTGTCAGACATGGTAGCTGATGATGTAGGCCTACTTCTTTCTCTCTGGTTGAGTCTGTGATTAGCTGCTTGCATCCACAAGTCAACAGCTGGTTTTGGGTCGAAAGTCTCTGTTGTCATCTTAGACAAGTGGATGTAATCAAATAAGTATGTGAACATAAACAATAACCTACCATAGCCAATAACAAATTAATGTAACTTATTTTATTTGTGTTGTTCATTCATATCTTATTTTACCTTAACATTTATTTATTTATGCTTTTTTTTTTTATCTCTCCAGTTTTAAAGGATATTTTTGGTTACTGTCCTATAGTATACATTGGAATGATTTCAAACCTGTTTATCCCAATAATTACAAAGGAGTGCCTTGGAAATATGTGTTTACATAAATTGTGAGCAAACCGTTTGAATTTAGACTAAGAGTCCTTTACCTCACTGAGCTGTAGTTATCAGTCTGACTGGAGAGGACTCTCCCTCCACATTATTGTAGAAACATCTTCTTCTTATCTCCGTTAGAGCAGCTAGCACCAGATTCTAATAACAACAGCGCTGGTACCGGTGCACCCTCCCTCTCTCCCTCGCTCACTCGCATTTTGTCTGTGAGCTGCGGGCGCCAGATAAGCCAACATCCCCCATTTTCATTACTTACAGCGCCCATCGTACAGGGCAAATGAAACGTGTAACCGGGGTGAAAAGGGTGTTACATTTACTTAATTGTGAATATTGTTACATCAAGGCCGAAAATTAGGATGAGCCCCAACGGTCAAAATGTTTTTTTCCCTCCCAGAACTGCCAGCGCAGCACCTCCCCAGATCTGGCGCCCTAGGCGAACATCTAGCCGGCGAACATCTAGCCAGCGCTACGGGCCGGCCCTGAGTTCATATCATGGTTCATATGCAACTCGCAAATATCTTTCTCTCTCTCTCTCTCATCTCTCCTCTCTCCTCTATTTTCTCTTTTCTCTTCTCTCTCTCCCTCTCAATGTTGGTACGCAAATGCGCTTTGTTTCAAATGACCCGGTGCTCTTTTTTTGGCGGAAGTGCGCATGCGCACCTGCGCACCAGTTATGTGCAGCCCTGGCTATAATGCTTCAATTAACTGGCTGTTCTTTATAATATACTCAGATCAATAGGAGACAGAGATGTTAATTAGGGCTGTGCAATTAATCGTATTTTAAATCGCAATTACGATTATGGCTTGCGACGATTATGAAAACAGCATAATTGACAAAATACGATTATTTTGCTGGGTGCGCTTTCGCCCCTCCCTAAAAGCCCACTCGGTCACGTGGGAGTGACATGTGTTGTGAGTATTCAGCGCGAGCGAAGATGTCAGAACAAGAGCAGCAACTCATTAAAAAGAAGGGTCGCGGGGAGATTCCCAGTCGATCGCGAGATGTGTCTAAAAATATAACAACAATATTCTGTTTTATCGTTAATGTCCTGTAACATAATCTTCCTGTGCCAGAATAATGCACTTGAACGCATCAAAGCTTTGTGATTGGCCGGCCTCACCCCATGTGTGGGGGCGTGGCTGGTGGGCAGTGGGCACTATTTCGCTGACTTTGTCCGTGTCAACAGGAGTGACAGTCCGCACACACACAAGACCGCAATTATGGCAGAAGCAAAAAAGCCCAAAATATATAATTTTCACTCCGAGTGGGAGGATGATTATTTTTGTATCTATTCCAATTCAAAGTCCATCTGTCTCATCTGCAATGCGAGCGTGGCTTTATCGAAGAAGGGTAATTTAGGAGCGGCATTTCAAAACAGTGCACAAACGCTACGAGACGGAATTCCCTCCTGATTCTGCCCTACGCTCCAAAAGGGGAGGGGCCTGAAAGGACTGCTAAATGCACAGCAGTCCATTTTCACCAGGCCCAACAACAAGAGCAAGGCTGCTACCAGAGCATCTTATCGTGTCAGTCACGTTCTTGCGAAACACATGAAGTCTTTCAAAGACGGCGAAGTTGTGAAAGAAGCATTCCTGGAGGCTGCTGACAGGCTTTTTGGGGACAGTAAAAATAACAGTAGCATTTCAACAGGTTTTTGATATAATAAAAACTCAAGTTAGATACCGTTATTAATCAGCTGTAAGTTTTAGTTTGTTTGAACTTATTCATTATAATTATTGTACAAAAGGGTATAAGAATGCAAACTTAAATTGATTATAGTCTATTATCAATTCAGGTTAAGAAACTAGTGTTGCTTGCATCCTATTTTAAAAAAGGCATTTCTTTTTATACTCTACTAAAATGCAACAAAAAAGGGTTTGATTCTATTAATGTTGTCTTTTTATTGCACTTTGGCAGCAGATTCCTGTGTAGCTTCAGATCTGAGTTGTCTTATTAGTAAGCCTAATTTATACTTTTGTAGCAACACTATTTTTATATAATGGCAAAGAAAGGGTTCTTCAGAGTCTTTTCTTTTTTTCCTGTGTCATATGTGGCAGCACTGCCACAAGTTCCTCTTCAGAGAGGGTCTTCAGTACAGGTGGCAATATCGTCACCTGCCTGCGCTCATCTCTGAAACCAGACCATGTCAACAGGCTGGTGTTTCTTGCAAAAAATCTTTAAGAGATGACATGAGCAGCCCTACCAGCATTTGCCATGGTGGCCTAAACATTTTTATTTGGTCTTAAATTGTAGTTCAACATTTATTTCCTGTTACTTCTGGACCATGACGGTTTGCCAGCCTTCAACGTTTAACTGAGTGGAATATGTTGAATATGTTTTACCAAAATGTTGGCTATATGTTAAGGAGTTTTCAGTAGGTTGTGACAGTGCACTGCATCATATTTGATTTAATTTATTTTGGTCTAATTTATTTTTATTTATCATATTAATATATGTTTAGTATGGTTTTGGAAATGCGCTCCAACATATTTGTTGATCTTGTTTATTGGTAAAATATGATTTGTTTTAAAGTTCAATAAATGGTCAATGAATAATCGTCAAAATAATCGTGATATCAATTATTGACCCAAATAACCGTGATTATGATTTTTGCCATAATCGCACAGCCCTAATGTTAAGTTATAAATCAAGGGGTTTTATTATTATTTACAGCAGGGGTGGGGAACCTTTTTCCTTTGAATTTTTACAACATCCTCCGAGGGCCGTACAAATGATTGAACTCAACCTCTGCTTAAAAAAACTAAAATCACAGCCCATTCATTTGGCCTTTCTTTCATGCTGTGCAAAGAAAAAGCAACCTCTTAATCCAGATATCTTTTTTTTTTTTAAATTGAAATATTGAAGTTAAAAGCATCAATCTGGTGCACTTTGAGAGCAAAATGAAGAGATCTATGGATACATCTCTCAACACCCATATGAAACAGAACTGTAAGCAGATTTTATTTTTCTTTATGGATATTTTACAAATCACTCCCCTTTTAAACTCTATTCTTGTTATTTTTAACAACTTTTTTGTTACTGTCATATCGTATTTTATACCTGTTTTTCATTTAGTCTCTAATGTCTCATTTATAACTATAACATCATATCAAGGTGTGCCTTAACCTCACTGAGCTGAGGTTATTTGAGCCTCTCAGGAGAGAGCTCTCTTCCACCTGGTTGTAGAAAAGCTCTTTAACTTCGTTAGCATAGCTAGCTAACCAGATGCTAATAACAACAGATCGCCACTGTGCTTACAACTAAAGACACAGCCACGCAAACACTGCTGCATGTGTACGGCTCCTTATGGGTACTGCAATATTTGAAGTGCTGGAGCGGCGTTCCGGTGCTCTCTGTCAGCACTACACCACGTGATGACACGTTACGCTCGTGTTGTGTTCAAGGAACCTGTTCTTGGCCAGGAAAAACAGGCACTCTCTTGTTTAATTCTTTTGTGGTCTAGATTTCTTAAACTCTTCGGTTCTTACACAAGTCACCCAAATCAGCGTTAAAAAATCGGGAGGTGCCGAAAAGCGACTAATTTCCATGCATGAAAATACCAAAGAAATTAAAGAAATTGCAAAAGGAAATAGAAAAAATGTAAACTTAGAGAGAATGGGGCATGCCACACAATGTGCAAGTGAGGGCGGAAATAAGTTAATTATACATATTTAATATAGAATCAGATAACAGAATGAAAAATGAAATACTGTACAGTAAAATATTACTGTAATAATATGCAAACATGTGAGATTTAAACAGATATTTGTGTTCTAGACATAAGTAAGTGAAGAAACGTGTGTATATGATAGGACGCATCATGTTGTGTGAACACCAAGAGGACAAAAGTGTCAAACGTACTGGATCGTCATTGCTACTGCCATTCCCAGACACCTCAGCTCCGTCTCCTGCAGCCATAGCATCGATGGAGGCAGTGATGCCTTCACTCTCACTCTAAGGAGAAACACAACAACATAGTGTAAACATCATCAACAATGCTGGATTTAAAATGTATGTTAATTACAATATAAGTTCTAATAACCATTAATAACATGTAAATAAGTCTATTTAGCCAAAAAGGTCTTCAGCATTGCCAAATGCCGCTGTATTTTGGTGGATTATCATGTAAAAGGACTTGTGTACCTTGAGCTCCAAGATAATGTCCTGCAGGTTTCTCATTACTTCAACGTTCTCCTTCAACTCCTGGTCCTCCAATGTCTCCAGAACTTTCTGAAGATCCACCGTACATCTGAAATACAGGGAAATAAAGAGTGTGGTCCAAAAGTTATCATTGTGGCAGTGGTCAACAAATCAATTAGCTAAAATCATCAAAACTGACTCAGGCCATGTTAGACCCATGCTGAAGCTCCCCTAGCTTCATGTCTTTGTGAACTCACGCTGCATGTTGCCCCAGTTGCTCCATCCTGCTTTGCAGTTTGTCATTTTCCTGTTCCGTCTGTAAAAGAAAGCAAATTAAATGTAATTAACCTGATGGATGACAATGCAAAGCAGTCAAATGTCAGAGGAAGACGAATTGAAATGTGTTTAAATTGTCCTGGCTTTTTTCTACCGATAGGTGAAAAAAAACATAGACTGTAAATAAAGATGGACGACATGACAGCTCCTCCAAAGGGAAGGCATAACATCTCGAGGGCTGGTTACAGTATAGGTCACACAATGTCATGATTGACAGCTGCTCTGAGTAAAGCTGTCACTAGGCAATAGGCTAGGTACTAAGGGTAGGAATTAGGGTAAATCAGTATAAAATAACCCATGACAATCAATTTGGCTGATAGTGCTTTGTATATTCTAATTTATATTATAAAATATATCATAATGAGAGTGGTGTTATTATTTTGCGAGAACCTGTACCATACAAAGCTTTTATTTCTTAAGTCTGTAGAATATGATCTGTAGGCTGGCAGTTCTCTGCAGCACCAACACACTTCATTGATTCATTTGATATGAATCTAGTCCATAATGCGATCTCGATACAACTCAGATAATTGCTCAGTCCTAGTAACAACTTTGAGGAGATGCAGCAATCATTTCAAAAAGCACGATTGTCTGTTCTAAAAATAAACTATAGAACAAATCTTTATGAACAGTGTATCATCCATACAGTCATTGATCGTGTCTCTTGCTAGCTTAACCACATTTCCACAGACAGTAAGGTTAGCACTGCTGTGGGTCAGGAGACCTGTGTTATCTCTGTGATAGCATAGGTGTCGATTTGATCATAAATGTATTTATAGGATCTTTATATTCATAGGAACCGCATTATTACACTAGTAACAGTTTTCACTGATGACTTTGGGGGAAGGTTTAGTAAATGTTGTTACGCTCTGACTCACCATGATGATTTTCTCTATCATGAGGGCAGTCTGTCCAGCTGCCTCGCTCAGCTCCCTGCACAGTTTGTTGTTGTCATCCTGCAGGGAGCGATTCCTTTCCACCAGCTTGCTCACCTTCTCCGTGGACTCTGGCCTGAAACAAGGAGACACAGTAACCATTGTTTAAGGAAAAGCATGTATTTGAAAGTGCAACATGGGGTTATTGGGGAAGAAGCACGTCTTACCCAGAGAGCACCGGACCCACTCCTCCCCGGGCATGCAGAAGCATCACCTGCAGCTCCTGAACCTAAACCGGTGAAAGGATCAAGAGATTGTTCCATGAAGATACACTGCATTTAACTTGCAGCATCATGACACAATCAGAGTACTATTTCTGCTGGGGGAAATTGGGTTTCGTGATTGTTAAAATGTTTTATTTATTAATATAAAGTTAAAAAGTTAAAGTAAGAATGTGCATTAAAAAGACGATTTTTTTTTTTTTAAAGTATTTGTACTTAATGTTCAATGAAGATACAAAAAAAGAAATAGAACATCAATATTTATAAAACACAAGTTAAAGTAAAAATAGTCACACTGTACTACAATATATAACAGGTGTATTACCAATAATTGTATTAACCTTTATGGCAGTTTGAGATCTGATTGTGAAATCATAGAATATAATTGTTTCCACTTCCCGTTTCTGTACCTGTTGTTTGAGATGGTTCATTTCTGCAGCTCTGAGGTCAATGTTGACGATAGGTTTATTTTTTATCTTGCGCGCTCTGTCAGCATATCGCAGAGTGTTGATTGTTTCCTCCATGTTGGAGTCTGCAGGACTGATGCACGCAATCATTAAAGTGTGGCTATTGCCTCCCAACGAATCTGATGATGACAGACAGAAGAAAATTCCAAGTAAAATCATTATTGCATTGTTTGAAAACTAAACAATTTGCCTGTTTTAAAATGTACAATTACAAGTTATAGTGCCATTGTTATACTAACATAATTCATGAATCCTTAATTAGTCCTTCTGCGGGGATATTTACAGTGTTAAAGAAAAGTGGCATAGCAGGTAAAAAAGGCACGTAATATGAAATGGTAAAGTGCAAACACAGCTGGTTTGGTGTCCATACACAGATCCTGTTTAACATGGCCAGCCATGATACATCCCCATTTAACGATGCAATCAATAAAGCAGAATTCATTTTTTTAATCAAAACAACTAAAGCCAAGTTGACTTGACTTTGGATTGGCTCATGTCTAAAGTTCCTCAAAGCAATCCGAGATGTTTGGACCACTAACCTTTGAACTTTAAAATCAAAGTGTACCTTGAAGCAGACGGGTGAGCTTTGAGTCCCTGTACGGAACAAAGCTGCTCTTTTTGCTTTCATCCCCCAAGGCACTGATGACATTACCCAGAGACAAAAGCCCACGATTGATGCTGATGCCTAAAGATGAAAATGGAATAGCATCAAAACAGAAATGCTGTTAACAGACCTTCAACAATACATTAAAACAGCATAGAAATAATATACAGGTCAGCAACATTTTCAGTTACCTTCCTTCAAACGATCTCCCTCTGCTTTAGTTTTCTTTTGCCTTTCTGAACCAGCCAGATCCACAAGGTGCAATTTTGAAACAACTGAGTCCACTCTGAAACAAAAGAAAACCCAAATGTTCAAATAAGATTGGATCTCACGCTTTGTGAGCCTTAGAATGCAGACTTGACACAAAACCACACATAGGTCAGGGACCATTTATAGTCATGAAAAACAACAGCATAAACACATCAAAATCAAGTCAAATCTGTTTTGATAGAAATTGAACGACATCTATGTAAAGATATCGGATTATGTTGTCCCCTTCACAAAAACACAAACCACATATTTCTAAATGAAATCCAATCTGAAAATATATAACTAAAAACTGTTGAATTAACTGCTGAAACACAGAGAGCCATTTCAAGGCATTTGAAATGTAGTAAACAAAGCGCAATCCAGTCGTCTTTTTTAGCTTCTGCAATGCAATATAAAGCCTTTTTGTTTTGTTTACCATAGCCATCAAATGTGTGTTCATGTCTTTGTTAACACTTCACTTTGTGTAAACTCAGAATAATGTATCTTAAGGAGAAAAAGGGTATGTATATCAGCCTAAGTGGTTGTTTGAGACAACAGCAGCAAACTGACTTGTCTTTGCCTCTGCGCTGCTCCAGTGTGATGGTGAAGATGGCATGTGAGCGTGAGGAAGCGGCGTTCATGGCGGTGGAACCCACGGTGCGAACTGAGTTGCCAATCTCCAAACAGCCCACCATCTCATGGGCAGAGAACACCTTCCTGTCGGTCAAACCCACGATCTGGAAAAACAGGATATTTTCAATGAATACAAAAGCTGACCCTTTACATTATATTACATTTAAAAAGGAATACAATTCGGTTTGTGTGTCCATCTACTCTAAGCTTCAAAGCAAAAGTTTATTCTTTAAAAACATGCCAGTCACTCACCTTTATTCCCTCTTTAGGGTCTTCCCTAATGCTGAGGCTAAGTTTGTCTTTAGAAGGACACAGCAAGTCCAATATGTCTTCATTATAGATCTGCAATCGAAAAGAAAAAGGTCTAAGTAACTTTTCTTTTGAAAACACTATAATTTAATAACATTTTCTGCACAACATGTCCACCGACCTCAAGGTAAGAAACTGACAGGCAGAATTCACAGTCTGCCCTCTTATCCCTTTCCTCAAAGATCCTTTTGATCACCCTCGGTATAACTCCGACTACAGGATCAGTTTCCTGAGCTGAGGTGTATGTTCCTCCCATCGAGAAGGTCTTCCCTGATCCTGTCTGTCCGTAAGCAAGAACGGTGGCATGGTAGCCTACAGGACAATTCATTGAGGAGGCAAAATTATTGAAAAGACAAGAAGAAAAGAAAAATATATTTCATTATAGCTATTTAACACCTTTCCCATTGAATTAAATTAATCATTTTCCCTTGTGTGCAACCAATGTATTTCACAGCTACATCTGGGAGCACAACCTGCACTGTTACCCCCTAGAAAACACTATGTTGAAAACATATAGCTACCTTTGAAAAGCCCACATAATAAGGGGGACACAGACGTGTTGAAGACCTCTTCTTGTTCAGCAGTGGGATCAAACACATAGTCATATGTGAACGCCTTCTCTGTGCCAACAATCACCTGAAAACAAACAACAATTTGGCTAATTATGTAGCTGTAAACGTGGATATAATGTTGATATAATGGCACAATAAAGAAATAAGTATTTTCCTAAATTGTTGTTGAGCACAGACCTGTGGTTCTCCAGGCACAAACGTGAGACAGCCCTGACATCCCTCGTTGATTTCCTTAGGTACCAACGGGCGGCTTCTCAAGGCCACCCGCACTGGAATCCCTTTATCATCCTCATTTGTCATGATGATGCAAGACAATATTCCTTGTAACAAACAACAACAGGGTATCATAATAAAGCCAAGTAATATAAGACAAGTCTACATGAAATAGCAAGAAGGGACAGAAAACTTTGAAAAACAATGAGGGATGCAACTCAAATCTGCCAGTGTTGAAACATACAGTTCCAACACTGGCAGATATTGAAACAGGCAGATGTTTGGACATAGTGACTGATTCCCATCATCAAGATAAAGGGATTTTCTTCATCATTTTTAGAAATGATGAAACATCATGTGCAATCAAATGTATTGCATGAATACTGGAGGAGGATTTAGGGATGAAGTGCTGATAACATCGAAATACAAATAACTGGTGTTGACTTTTTATTGCATGATGCCAACAAAACCCATCAGAACCTGAAGTTAAAAGTCATTGTTTTTGCTGTGTTAAACCATGACATTACTATATTGATTCACACTGAATTTTGCAAACTTGGCAACTGCTTATTGAAAAGTTTAAAATGCATAGACAACACAATATTCTTGAAAGTATCATCTGTTGCATATTTAAAAAAATGGACACCTAGTTGCTTTACAAAATAAAATGGTTGCCTGAAATGTTAAATGTGTATTCTATTGGCTTTTTAAAGACCGTTTCAATGTATTTAAATTGTATTTGTTTATTTTGCACTATGTCATATTGCCTTAATGTTTTATTGAAAGCCCTTTGAATAGTCTTGTTGTTGAAATGTGTTATATATAAATAAATGTGTCTGGTCTTGAAAGGAAAAACATAACGAAATGCAATGTGTTCAAATTATAAAAGGAAAGTTAGTATCTAGCTCCACAATTATTAAGGTAATGGCTTTATACGTTGTCCACTAACACTTGCATACTTGTTGTCTGTGTAATCTACTCTGTTTCTTCTTGCACTCTTTATTTTTACATGTGTTTTATTTTTGTATGTCCTATATATATATATATAATAAGTTGCACTGTTGGATGAGCTTGGATTAGCATTGCCATGTCTACACTGTAGCTACTGTGCATATGACAATAAAGCATTTGAATATTGAATCAATAAGGAGTTTGCCTTCCAGTGCATCATGTCTCCATGGGTCAGTAAATTCCCCATGTCTGTTGTCATGGTGTCAAGGAGTTGGTCCATTATCCACCCTCTATATATATATATATATTTAAGATGGTTGTGAACCTTTCGTTCACACAAATTAAAACCAAACTGTGCAACTGTATAAGCATAAGTTATTATGGACATTTACGTCTCAATCGATCTCTTAACAGATATATACGCAGAAGGCTTTAACGTTAACTTGCCAAATGTATCGTTTAAGAATTCACAGCGAAACTATCTACCGCCTTTAGCAGACGCTAAAATGCTTTGTATTGGATGGAAACAAAGTTTCACCCCAGTTGACGGGTTATAATCAAGTTGTCATAATTGTGTTTTTGACTAACGTGACCGTTGGTTAGCTAGAAGAATAACGCTAGCTAATTGTTAACAATACGTCGAATTTAACATTAACTTACCTTTTCACGTTTCCTCCTGTACGAGAGCTATCACGGTAACAGCATTAAGTACAGTTAAGTTGTAAATACTGCTTGGAAAACGTATACTTTTTAACGTTACTTGCTACGACTTCTTCTTCTTATTATTATTATTATTATTTATTGTTTTCTTCTTCTTCTTTGCAATGGCGAATCGCTTCCCACTTGCTACGGCTTGAGTTTTGACTGCCCGCCACTTTCAAACACACGGCTCCTCCTCCTCCTTCTTCTTCTTCTACTGGTTGATTTATGGTAGACTCAACGCAGCTCGGCAGCGTCACACTGACCTCTACAGGATAAAATAAACAAGACACAATGTGTTCGATGCACTCTTAAAGGGCCCATGTCATGCTTTTCCGGTGATTACGTTATTACGGTTATTACCCGTCCCCTTGTGTGTTATGAAGGTTTTTCTGCATGTAAACGGTCTGCAGAGTCAAAAACCCTCAAAGTACACCCTGTAGCGAGTAAAACTCTAACACAGAAAATACCTGTCTATCAAGGACGTGGGAAATAGGGGTGCTGAGGGTGCTGCAGCACCCCCTGATGGAGGACAGGGAATCTGCACGTCCACAAGATTAAATGGAAATATAATACAAATATAATACAACAACAACAAAAATGTCGGCCTTGATGTAACAACATTCATAATTAAGCAAAGATAACACCCTTTTCACCCCGGTTACATTTTCCATTTGCCCTCAGTGAGGTAAAGGACTATCTGAGTGTTTAGATAGTTCACTTTAGTCTAAGTTATCTCAGTGGGTCTCAAACGGTTTGATCATAATTTATATAAACAAATATTTCCAAGGGCACACCTTTATAATTATTAGCATAAATAACAACAGGTTTGAAATCATTCCAATGTATACTATAGGACAGTAACCACAAATATCCTTTAAAACTAGAGATATTAAAAAAAAAAAAAAAGCATAAATAAACAAATGTTAACCAGGTAAAATAAGATACATTTATTTATTATTGGCTATGGTAGGTTATTGGTTATGTTCACATACTCATTTGATTATTAAAATGCAAACCGATCTTTTTCATATGGGTGTTTTAGAGTTGTACCCCCTAGATCAGGTCTCTAGTATAATTCTGCTCAAAGTGCACCAGATTGAAGCATTTTACTTTAAAATGTTAAAACAAATATTCTCCCCCGGACCCCCCTAGAGGATTGGACGTCCACCCCTCAATTAAAACATGTTCATACAATGCTGAATACATTTGAAGCCTTTTTATATAAGCTGTCCACCATGTCAATAAGTTTATCTTATTGTAGTGTATTGGTCTTTTGTAGAGGTATTTCATTTATTCTTTATATATTCTATTATGTATTCCTTGGATACTTTATCGATCTTCATCTTTTCTACTGTACGTGTTTCAGAATGGGGCGGGCGCCAGCAAAAATCTTGCCTAGGGCAGCAAATTTGTCAGAACCGGCCCTGGTGTCATCCCCACAGCACCCCCCATTTGAAAGATGTTCCTACGGCTACCCCAAAACGCCTAGTTGGAGATTTCTCATTTTCCATTGTTTTCTTCCTGGGTTCTGTGACGTGTGAATACCCAAATCAACAACAAATTACCGGATTGGCCCAAATGGACCAATCCGCGGAGCACCTCACCAACACATTCTCACTCCCAATTCGGCCTATGTTGACGTTATGTCAGGGTCCCTGTCGTCACTTTCCAACGCAAGGGGGCCCTTTAGCGTTGAGTTTCAACTATCAGGGAGTCCCATTGACTTGCATAGAGCTCCCTGAACGTTGGTAATAGACGAGTTGGGATTGCGGCAAAATGCTCTCCGCAGATCCATTCTCACAGCGTTTATCAAACTTTTTCTTACTCAATATCAAGCCAAACTTATTGTTTTACTTCTTTATTTTAATTGAATAATGTTGGGCTTTTTTTGCCGTCAGTTATGGGGAGAGTAGGGGCTCAGAATACTGAAATCTGTATTGTTTCATCGTTTTTTCCTTCTAATTTTGTATTCTTTTCTAAACCACACACTGTTATTTACTCAACAATAACACACAATTATCCTTTGACTTGCATATAGAGCTCCCTGAACGCTGGTAATAGACGAGTTGGGATCGTGGAGAAATGCTCTCCGCAGACCCATTCTCACAGCGTTATAAATCTTTTTTTTACTCAATATCAAGCGACACTTATTGTTTTTACTTCGGCTGTGAGCGTTTGTGTGTGCTCAGGATGAGTTTTGCTGTATCGCCGACCCGCAAACCTGTCCGCTCCTCGCAGCAGTGAGCCTCGCAACGTCCCGACCAATCAGAGCACACTGGGCTCACAGGGAGGGGGGGGGGGGGGGTAGGAGCTCCCACAAGCCGTTTAGGACAGAGTGAATACCCGGTGAATACACATAATATACAGAGATGCTGTATGAGAAACCGATGTGATTTTGGAAAATTGCACAATTTAAATCTATTCTAGTAGACCTCAACAATGGAAATATGATCAGTAGAAATGGCCATGACATGGGACCTTTGAAATAATTATTGCCTTAATCGTTCACCTTGATCATTTTAAATGTACCCACATAAAGCAAACATTATACTCTAAAAATATTTACTTATTTTCAGTCCTTCTTTGCTGTACTCGAAGTTGGTCTCGTTCGCAGTAATAATAATTCCTAATTATCTTCCATTGTAAATAGGTTATTTTGGTTCATTAAAGAATGCATTCATCTGAAGGAAAATAATGTAATCATGTCTTTGAAATAAAAAAATTCAAAGGGATTCTGTTAATTATGACTATAAAACAAATGATCTATTATTATTTTTCTTAAATGAGACAGCATTCAAATGCTTGTCTCTCTCAATGGGCTGCTCAAATAACAGATAATACATACATGAAGATTTCATGAACCCATTGGCCACACTTAAACGGTTGTGAGAGTTATAACATTTCAACGTATTCTTGTATTAATTAAATGAACCAAATTGATAAAATAATAGATTTGTCTTCCTTTGCACAAGACACATTCACCCACTTACTAAACATTTTTACACTTTTATTGCAAAGTGTGGGCAGGAGGTGAATCACTGTTAGTTGCTGACAATGAAGGCAATCAAATAAAACTTTGAAATTCTTACATGACTAATATTACAAAACAACAAGCATGTATGTGAGGCAGAGTGAAGAGAGCTTGCAGCAAAACCCTGCTTATCAGACAACAACACTCAGTAGTTGTGTCGACAGACTTGCAACGATAAGAAAAAGAAAAGCTCAGGAGAGACTTTTTTTCTTGAGAAGTGAGGCAAGAGGGAAACTGAGTGGATGACATATATTCCTCTTGATGAGATGACTTCCAGCCCTAATGGGGAGTGACGCTCTGTTTTGAATGGAAAAGAAAGGTCATTCCAAAGGGAGCCAAAGGGGAAACAGCAGAATATGTAAAAGATTCCTTTTACATATCCCCAAAATATAGTCACATAACATAAAAATGAATAACTGTTGGCCCATAAGCCTGGCCCATTGTGCTCTACAAAGCCATGCAGGTACAGTCAGTGATGATACAATGTCTTCCTAAGATTGTTTTTGACTAAAATCCCATCAAAATGACTCATGTTTAAATAAAGAAGCATGTGCTCTGTGAAGGATGAATATGGGAACAGAAAGGCTGGGCTTCAGATGTCAGCTTGCCTTGGACACATCTCTGTGTCCTTGTTTTGTCATTGTCAATTCTCCTTGATCAAGCTTCAATTCAACATTCAGGTTATTTTGTTTTCAGGTGCTCTGCTCATTGAATTTCCATCACACAATAAAAAACACATTTTAATGGGGTTGAGTCTAACATCATGTTCCAAAATGTTGTCAAAAGTATTTTGATGCTGGTTTTTGGCTTCTACACGTGCAACTATATTTAACTTTTTGTTTTAAAATATTTTGTTATAAATGATTATGGGAAGTGCCCTTTTTCCCACTTGAGCTCCCGCCCCCCAAAATGTCTGTGCACGTCCTTGCCAACATGGATGCATGAATGAGGTTTTGAAGAGGGTACAATATGCTCAGCTGCTCGAGCATTGTGTGCACACAAGCTCTATGCACGACTAAGCTAAACGCTCTATTAACTGTAAAAAAATGTAACATAAGATAAAGTAATAGCAATCTTAGCTTTATTTCAGTCTGCTGAGTGTGCTTACTAGTGAATTTAAGGCCCCGGCCACACGAGGACGAAAACGGCTAAACGCATAGGATTCACGCAAACGCAATCGCAAAAAAGTTTCCGTCCACACGCAATACAATAGTCACCGGATAGTGTCTGTCCACACGAGACAGCTCCGTTTAGCTCCAACCGCTGGAGAAGCTGCAGTACATATGCCGAGCTGTACTTGGCGCTGTAACTCCCTCCCCAAAAGCAGCGAAGAAGCATGGTTGTCATGGTTGCCCTTCTGTGGTGGGGACCTTTATATATACAGTCTATGGTGGGGACCGAGGGAAGCGGGCAGAGTTTTTCGCCAGTCAACGTGTATTAAAGTTTAAATCTTCAGGACAAAATTATAAAAGTGCCGGTCAAAGGTCTTCTTTGTTATTTATTGAGCTTTAAAACAAATGAATAACGACTCTATATAATATAATAATAAAATACACGGAGCCTCTCTTTTTCCTCCCTCTCTTCGGACAGCGTCAGTGTCTGTCTCATGCAGCAGCTGATCCAGTAATGAGTGACCCGGCCGACAGTAAAAATAAACATATTTATAACTAGTTTAGGTAGTTTGAGAGGTAATTAAAATAGCTAAGGGTGATGATCTGACTTGAAGTGTGTGTGTTGCGCCGTTCACCGCTGCATCACAGCGGGAGGAGCTGCAGGTGAGCAGAGCTGCGTGTCTCCGTCCTGTCAGATTAGACTTCACTCGCGTTTAGGACGATAACAAAACAAAAGTCGGGGGTCATTGGTCAAGCAACACACCAATCAGAGAGCAGCAGTGAGCACACCTCAGGCTGTGTTTTATATTTGTATTCTTTATTTCTGATGTATTTCACACAGAAAACCTTTAGTGGAAACGTTTTCACTTCTATGATTAAAAAAAAAAAAAAACGGCAAAGTGGCAAGGCTTGCCCACCCTGCGTTGGGGGGGCACAGTGACTCATTTGGGGGGGCATGGCCCTCGAATGACCCCCCATGACGCCGACCCTGCATTACGTGTTGATAGAAATCAACACGTAATGAAATAAGACCCCACGGTTTGATGATTGATAGGTGTGTGGGCTGTCTTTCAT